TTGGCTCCAGTCACTATCCCTCACCTGGGCCAGCAGCTTCAGCTACTCATGTACCTGGTGCACTTTTGGCTGTCCCAGCTCAAGACTCCGCTGCCATCCACACTGGCAAAGAAAGAGGTAAATACTCATCCATGGCTCTGGTAGTACCTCTGTTTCTTCCTTTCTCCAGGAAGATACTGTTTTTCTTCTTCTTCCTCTTCTTCTTCTTCCTCCTCCTCTCTACTTCTTTTTGATACAGAGAAACTCCAAGACTTCTTGTGGACCTGCAGCCACTACCTGGCAGGACTGGAAACTCAAATCTTCCATCTCTAAAAGCATACATTTCAACTGTGTTTTCAGGAGCTAAGGAAATAATTACAGGTGTACATAATGGCAACTTTGGGCCTATGGTGGATTTTGGCAAACAGTGAACAAGCTAGGACACCCCAGGAGAGGGGCTCTACACCGCGGCCTGGCAGCACTGCGAAAGTTGGTATTTCTCTTCTATGAGACCCCTGTGAAATCCTGCTCTCAGAACCTGCGACCCCTTCAGGGACTGTTGCAGGTGCGTGGGTTGGTGCTGTGTGAGCTCCCAGTGGTGGCTCTGATTCTTTCAGGAAGTTCAGGAGTTTTCTGACAAGGATGTGCCAGCAGAGCCTGACTTCCAGGGAGATGTCTTCCATTTTCCTCCAGTGATGCCACACTCCACCTGCCACGCCAAAGCGCCTGACGGGCATCAGAGAACCCCACTTCCACATCTCCCCCAGCTTCTCCAGGTATCTGAGGGCAGCGTGGACAGGACTTACACATCAGTGGCTACTGTGCAATGCATTTCTGAGAGCTTTGGACAGCTCACTGATTCTGACTAGGGGCCGGGAATATCTGAAAACAGGAAGGGGATTCAGATGAAGGTAAGAGAAAATACAAACACAGCTAAAACCAAACACTAGGACCAGACTTGAAAGACAGCCCTCTGCTCCCCATCACAACAGGAGTCCTGGCAATGTCACCAAAGGACAAGGAATGCAAGTTTTCTCCCTTGGGTCAGCTCTGACTTCACTTTTAAAAGGTTCGTATGTTCTTAACTCTGTTAAGAATATTATTTTATATTATATATTCTCATTTGAGTATGTTGTCATTTGCATTTAGTTTGAAATAAAATACATCAATGCTTTTTATTTTTTTCAAAATTGTGGGTAGTAAAGCCAACTTAATATTTTGTCAAATGTGTGAATGTAATGCACATGCAAAATGAAGGTAGTGACTGTTTTGTGAAACTTCTGTTATTTTATATGTGGTGAAATATGACAGGACACTCACCCAGATTTCCCACTTTGAGCATAGCTTCCAAGAACAGGAACCCTCTTCTCAGGAGCCACACCCACCTCAGAATTTTAAGCAACAAAACATCACTTAACACAATATGGAATACTTTTACCACAATCTTCTGAAAACACTGTACTTTTTGTGGGACTTGCAAATTGTGGAGAATGCTAAGATTTCACATTTGGATTTGTTGACAACCACTGTGTATGTAGTGGGTGGGGTGGTGTACACATTGTAGAGACTCCCCCCGCCCTGGGCTTTTTTTAAAATATTTATTTGAAAGGCAGAGTTAGAGAGACAGAGACAGAGAGACAGAGAGAGATCTTCCATCCTCTGGTTCACTCCCCAAATGGCTATAATGTCCACGGCTGGGCCAGCCTGAAGCCAGAAGCCTGGAGCTTCCTCTGGGTCTCCCACATGGGTGCAAGGGCCCAAACACTTGGGCCATCCTCTGTTGCCTTCCCAAGTGCATTAGCAGGGATCTGGGCCAGAAGTGAAGTAACCAGGACAAAACCTGGTGCCCAAATGGGAGGCTGGCACTGCAGGTGGCACCTCTATCCTCTACATCTGAACACTGGTCTCCCTCTCTTCACCTTTTTTGATGCAGTGTTTTGACAATTAAATGTTTGGGAGTCTCATCTCTTTTCTTTCCACCTGCCTCCTGCCCTTCCTTTCTTTTTTTAAATTTATTTATTTGAAAGAGTTACAGAGCGAGAACAAGAGTGAGAGCGAGAGAGAGGTCATCCATCTGCTGGCTCACTCCCCAAACGGCCACAACGGCTGGAGCTGGGTTGATCTGAAGCCAGGAGCCAGGAGCTTCTTCTGGGTCTTCCATGTGAGTACAGGGGCCCAAGGGCTTGGGTCATCTTCTGCCTTCCCAGGCAATAGCAGAGAGCTGGATCAGAAGTAGAGCAGCTGGGACTTGAACTGGCACTCATCTGGGATGCACTGCAGGTGGTGGCTTTACCTACTATGCCACAATGCCAGCCCCTTTGCCTGCCCTTTCAATTTCTATATTCAGGCTTTTATTTCAAATTACATTTGTAATTATTGCTCAAAGCACTCAAAACAGTCCCAATTATCTTCCAACTTTTCTTTCTGCTCCTCAGTTGTAAACTAAGGTTACAACACTGTTACAGTTGCTGTCCATACAGAAGCACAAATCACTATGGAGCTATGGAAGGTCCCAGTTTCCCAAAGGATTTTGCTGACGAGTTAAACCACATTCAGAGAGGTCAGCTCCAGAGAGGGCCTGTGTCCCGGTTCCGAATAATCACTCACACTGGAGTTCCAGAAGCTTGCTCAGCCCTGCCTGGAATCCCTGGCTTGATCCTAATTCAGGCCACTGCCCTTCACTTGCAGGAAGTGCTCCTCACTTCAGGGCTTTTGCACATGCTGTGCCCTCCCTTGATGGGCTTCTTAAACATCCTCTCCTCACAGCAGCCGCCTGCCCTCCTGTCACACCCCTTTATCATGCTACCAGGTCTTCTGTTTTTATTGCTTTGAAATGCCTCCTTTCTCCCTCCATACACAAGCAGGCATGAGATCACTGGGTACAACACTGGAAATCACATTAACACATCTTTTGTAACTCTATTAACCAAGTCCAAGTCTACACAGTCACACAAATTGCATTTACTTCCTTATAAAACCAACATTAATTTTAATGTAGGACCAATATCATGACCACTTATTTAAATGGTATTTGTGTATCTTCTGCAAAATTATGCTAGCATTAGGGGCCGGCACCATGGCTCACTTGGTTAATCCACCTGCGGCGCCGGCATCCCATATGGGCACCGGGTTCTAGTCCCAGTTGCTCCTCTTCCAGTCTAGCTCTCTGCTGTGGCCCAGGAAGGCAGTGGAGGATGGCCCAGGTCCTTGGGCATGGGAGACCAGGAGGAAGCACCTGGCTCCTGGATTCGGATCAGCATAGCGGCCATTTGGGGGGTGAACCAATGGAAGGAAGACCTTTTCTCTCTCTCTCTCACTAATTCTGCCTAATAAAACAAAACAAAAAACAAAAATTATGCTAGCATCAGGGGCCAACATTGTGGTATAGTGGGTAAAACCACCACCTGTAACATGAAAACCCTACATGGGTGCCGGTTTGTATCCTGGCTGCTCCACTCCCTACCCTGCTAATGGCCTGAGAAAAGCAGTGGAGGACTGCTCAAGTGCTTAGGCCCCTGCACTCCCATGGGAGACCAGGAAGAAGCTCCTGGCTCCTGCCTTGGCCTGGCCCAGCCCTGGCTGCTGCGGCCATCTGGGGAATGAACCACTGGATGGAAGGTATCTCTCTAACTCTGCCTTTCAAATAGGTAAATAAATCTTTAAAAAATTATACTAGCATTAATTCTAAAAATTCAGTAAACACCACTGCATATCTAATATTTCATGCTCTATTTAACAAAATTTCAAGGAAAATTTTTTCTGGACTCCAAAATATGTGTTTTCTTTGCCAAATATACATGTATGGGGAGGGGCTAATGTATTTCCCAAAATACGCCTTGTTTTCAAGAACTTTAAGGCAAACCAGCTCAGATTTACAATAATCAGGGCTCTTAGGTGCTCAGAATCACCTCAGTGCTCTTCTCTTTGGTCATCAAGTCTTAAACAAATCCCTTCCAGAGCGTGAAGGGGCACTCTGTAAAACAAACGCCCACGAGCAAGCGTGTGCAGCAGCCATCTGTGGTACCCACTCTGCCCATGGACAGGGGTGCTCAGGTCCCTGCCTAAGATGCTGCAGGGTTTGTAGAGTGCCTCCTGCTCCCTGCAAGCCACAGCATGAATGCAGGGTAAACACTGTGTGAATCATGTTGCGCTGTGCTGTTTAGGGGTACACAGGACGGATGGTAATTTCAGTGAGTTCATAAATTTTACCAGTTTATTTACAAGCTTCTGCTTTATGTAGCTTTGTCACTTTATCTTCCAATGCTTTCACTTGCATTGTTTTGTATGTAAGAAATCTGACAGTATTTAAGAAAGAACAAAAATATCTGACTTGAATTAAATAAGAAATTTCAGCTTTTTAGGATTCTCTCAGGAAAGACTTTACAGAACCTTGGAAACAAGATAAAGAATGTCGGCCGGCGCCGCGGCTCACTAGGCTAATCCTCCGCCTTGCGGGGCCAGCACACCGGGTTCTAGTCCCGGTCGGGGCACCGGCTTCTGTCCCGGTTGCCCCTCTTCCAGGCCAGCTCTCTGCTGTGGCCCAGGAGTGCAGTGGAGGATGGCCCAAGTACTTGGGCCCTGCACCCCATGGGAGACCAGGAGAAGTACCTGGCTCCTGCCATCAGATCAGCGCGGTGCGCCGGCCGCAGCGCGCCAGCCGCGGCGGCCATTGGAGGGTGAACCAACAGCAAAGGAAGACCTTTCTCTCTCTCACTGTCCACTCTGCCTGTCAAAAAATAATAATAATAAAAAAAAGATTAAGAATGTCAGATCCATTACTTTTCAGTCTTTTTCATTTCCAGTCATAACTGCATATGAAGTCCCAGAGAGATACAGTGTAAGGTGAAAACCACTAAAACATCTCAATTCATTATGATTTTTGTTTTAGTACTTAAAGTTCCAAATCAAGTTTCTGAACTTCATGTAAATAGACGTATGCCACTGTGGCCAGCAAGCTGGTAGCACAATGAAAAATGGGTCCTCATCACCTTGGACACTGATACAATGAGTCGCACGAGAACTTTTCCCAAACTAGCATGTGATCTTTATTAAAACTGTGAATACAGCGGAGATACAGGCACAAGTCTGAAGAGCTCTAGAACCAACCCATCTCATGTAAAAATACATTACCTGGAGGATTTTCCCAGCTTGATTGAATTTGACTGAATCTGTGTATTAATTTAGGCTTTAATGTATGTAATCTTTAAAGAAAAGACCTGATAGATTTTAATAGATGATATATATCTACATATATATATGTTCTTCCACTATTTTATTCATTTAAAATATTAATATTTGAAAGAAAATACATTTCTAAGTTAATAAAATAGCGCAATCAAAACCTTTATTTTTCTCATTAGACTGAAATCATAAATCAACACAAAACATAACAATAAAAGATTAAGCGTGAACAGTATTTCTCAGAAAGTAATGTCAAGAATATCATGAAAATATAAACATTGCTTGTAACTGGGCCACAGAAAATGCATTTACCTTTGAAAGCAGAGATATTCACTGCCTTCAGCTTCAGGTTAGACCTCAGCATGCAGCAGATGATTCCCACAGATGACTTTCTGGTTTTGTAATGAAAGAAAATGGCAGAATCTCTCTGGAAGGAAAACTGAGGTCATTTCTTTCTTAAGCCATGTCTATGCACAGTATACATGGAACACATGAACGGTTCTGTGTCCCTTGCCAGAGGAGAAAACAAACAGTTCTTAAAAAGGTCCAAATTATCATACAGCCAACAAAGTTGGAATATTTAGAATTAAAATTCCTTTACCTAGTGAAAGCTGCACACATTATCTTCTTTAGAGTCAGAGATTTCCAGTTGCCTTTTGCATATTATATTAGCCAACAACCAAATTTTAATTTTTAGTTAGGCGATATTAACATATAATTAGCAGCAAATAACAGCATGACAACACAACGAAAGTTCACAAAGATCTAAGGAAGCAGCATTTGGAACCATGGCACTAGGTGTTCTTCCATGAAGCCGGGAATCATGGGGGCTTTGCCCACCTCTGCCTCCGGTGAAAATTTTTTGGAAACAACATTCCTTTTGACAGCAGCAATGATAATAATGCAAGGAGAGCTGTCAAAGCCAGACAGTATACATTCTACAGTCAGAAGACCCTCACTCCTCAGTGAACACCACACATAATAAAAGAACACAGCAAATTCCAGTGTAGCACACACACAGAAAAACTTAATTCATTTATCAGAGACTGACACAATTTTGAATATGCATTTTCCATCTGTAGCTGTCAAACCATGGAAGTGAAACAATGCATTATGAAACTCACATAGTGCATGAATTATAAATGAAAAACAAATGCTCTGCCAAAAAAAGTTGGCTGATGGCTGATCATGTAGATATCCATATGTATATATTTATATATAACGATGAAAATCAGCTTGCATGAGGTTCATAGTGTATCTATTTTGAAGCTATATCACACATACTGTAAGCAATTTACAGAATTTGTCAGGTTTGCATATACAGGAATTGCAAAATGAATGAAAACACGTTGAAATATAGAACACTTAAAATGTATTTATATAGAAACCTCCCAGGATTGACAGGGATTGGCCATAATCAGTGCTTGCCACCACAGAACACGAACTGCAATCATGAAAAAGCAGAAAAATTCCAAGAAAAAAGGGGAAAACAAAAAATCTTTCTTTTAATATTCTTTGCTTAATGTTCTTGTCGACGTGTAGTGTTGGTGATTTTGTTCTTGTCCCCATCTGGGGGCTTTAGCTGATGGTAGTTTATGCTCTGTAGCATTTTGATCTGTTTGTTTTTTTGTAGACAATGGGCCTTTTAGTAGGAAACCAACGGTATCCACAGTGTGAATGTTTATTCCGATGATGTTCTGGCCAACCCCTGAGTAGTCAGTGAAATGATGACTTTCAGTTGCCGAAAGAAAAGGAAAAAAAAAATAGATCTTGCTATTAGAAAACATCCTATCACTTCACACTAATTCTCTTGAAATAAAAGATCAGGTGATTTGCCAAAGAAAATATCATCAACAAAGCATGTGATAGCCTCTTCGTTTATGCTCCGGAAGCAGGCGCTCCTTGGGTAGGATATTAGAGTACAGTGGGTGCAGAGTGGTGCTTGGAGTTTAGGGTCAACTTTGCTGTCCGCTCCGTAGATTTTACAGGCGATTTGCTCTTTGCTTTAAGAAGAGAAAGTGATATTGGAAAAAAGTCAGCACTTTAGATTAAAGCAAAGCACCCTTCACAAAGCCACAAACAAGAAGCAGGACAGAAAGTCCATGGCTTGTAGCTATCCTCGCACCTGCGGAAGAAGTTATAAGATATTCGCTCATCTTGAAGATTTCCAATGCTCCTTATTAGGCTGTTTAAATACATACATTTATAATTTAATTAGCTCGCCAGCTTGGCTCTGGTGCTCATGAGTGTCTTGGCATGCACTGCAAACAACAACACATACAAAGTATTTCAGTCCCGGGAGTCGCTGGGGTTTTGCCTGTTTGCAATCATTGCCATCCCACGGCTGGGAACATCGAGAGACACAAATTCAAACCTTTTCTCTTGCTAATTCCTTGTGGGTCACTTAGTTGTTCCTGTATTGGTTTCCTGCTACATTCGCACAACAAAACCCACCAGCCTCCAGGAGATGGGGAGGGGTGTGTGTGTGTGTGTGTGTGTCTTTGTGAGTGAGGGTGAGCACTGCCATGGCATTTGCTTCAGAAAAGGATCTTTCTCAGTGATCTTCAAAGTCTGATGAAAAGTTACTGCTGTTAGAACTGGAAGTTCTTCCCAAGATTACTGAAGGGAAGTAACTAGATGTCCAGTAAACTTCTAGCCAAAATTGATATATTAAATACCTTTATTAGTAAAGAAACAGATATGTGATGGGGTTCCAAGCATTTCTCTCTATTTATTTGTTGGAGAAAGGCTGGAGGGGTTTGAAGAGCTAACAGTGGGGAAAGCCAACCTTTCCAGGCCTTCCACTGAAACACAGGTAGCTCCACAATGCAAAGGAAACAAAGGAAGCAGAGGCCCTCGCTCCCCAAAAGCCACTGCAGAATAAATATAAGATACTGATCTGTATTAAAACAAAATATTGCTATATGAGGCATCTAATATGAGCCTGAATCACTGGTTTCCTATCAGGGTGCCACAGTGTTGCCACTGGTTTGCCATTTTGGAAGGTGTGTAGCCCACCTGTAGGAGGGTATTTAGTGTCTCCCCAGGAGCCCAGTGACAACTGGGAGTGGCTCTGGGGTGAGTGCCTGTATGAAGAAGGGCCAGGTGAGGAAGGCACAGCCTGCTTCAGGTCAACAGCTCCAGGTTCAGAGACCCTGCCAGGACGACACACGCAACCTACGGACCACACGAGCATCACAGCTTTCCAAAGTTAAGCACATATTGTTATCTTTTGGACAGGGATTCAACAGATATAAAAAAGTTATTATTAGGCTCCCTAAGTAGTTAGTAGTACTTGATTTGATACAAAATATACCTGGTGTTAAAGAAAGGCTTTAAAAAAAGCTAACAATAAAACCATGTACTCTTTGAAAGATATTTGGTGAAATAATGGCTTCCTTTTCAATGTGGACCTTGCAGATTGGCTCAGGGTTGCTGACACTGTGCCATGCTGCACGCTGGCCTTTCCCTGTCACTCAAGCCTTCGTGGCATTGCCATTGTCCAAGTGCCCCACTGAGGACAGCTGCTTCATTCTGACCCACTGTATCCCATCCTGCATCCAGCGTGTGCAAGTTAAAGCGTGGTTCACCTGTGTATTATGAACTGGGGATGTGTGCATTATAAAGAAAATGCTAAAGCTGCGGAGATTTTAGACTGCCATCAGGTACACAATTCACTAACATGAGCATAATAGCTGCTCGTGTATTATTATGCTTTCCTATCAGAGTGTTGGGGGCCATCTATCTTATGTGGTTTCTTGAACTCTGTGCCTGGGTACCCCTAAATGCAGCCCCAGGTGTAGCTGCATTGTCTTGTCTGTCTCACCAGATGCCCCTCAGCCCCTGCTTGGAGCCTCAGCAAGGTTTTGTCTTTGCCTCTCCCATGGCCTACACTGCTTGTAATTCATGGTATTCATCTTGCTTCATATTAGTACACCATTAGCTCATTAAAAGCAAGCAGGGAAAATTCTAGCCATTTCCCCCCATTACTCTCCAAAACAAAGCCAGGAGTTTTAAACTTTGGCCTCCGTATATAAGCACACAAGAAGTGAGGTTGGGATTCTGCCTTCTACATCCTGGCAGGAAGCCTGCAGGTTCCACACCCAGCTGGAAGCAGAGCCATAGGACCAGGGACTTCCCCTGGGCACAGAGCACGGCAGGACATCCTGAAGCTCTACAAGTAATGCTGCCTTTCGTTTGTGTACCTGAGATCAGAGGTGCCCGCTGGGAGTGGGCACCATGCATGCAAGGAGGAGGCTGTCCTGAACTTGGTAAAGGCCATGGGATAGAATTCTCTCTAGAGGACGCAGTCCCTCCTTCACCCCCTTCACTCTTCCTGCAAGATGGAGAGCTCATGTCACCCTTTTCAACAGACTGTGGCCAACAGGAAAGACAGGGAAGCCCCAAAGATGCTGTCTTCACCATCACTATTACTTCAGAGAATAATAGATATTCCATCCATTTCCTTAAGAAGAAAAAGCAAAACTGAAAGCGATCCAACCACAGTTGTAGCCAGCACAGCATCAGCAGCAGCCAGGCCAGCAGTGTTCCAGTTGCATTGTCTCCCAGTGCAGCAGCCAGGTGTCTCCCTGGTCCCTGTTCCAGGGCCCTCTGCTTGGCCTAAAGGAAGCAAAGCCCCTTGTGCACATCCCTTCTTCCTGTGCCCAGGATCACGAGGCTGGAAGAAGGCCCTGCTGGATTCATCACAGATGTTTTCATCTCTTGCTCACATTAATCTCCAGAACACAGAAAACATGGGGGTCTGCCATGTGCCAGGCAACACACAGTAGGGACCTTTTGTCCATGATCTTGGTTCATTCTCTCAATAGCCTATGTATGGATCCACAGACCAAGAAAATGCGTCTTGGTGAGACAGAATGACACCCGGGGCTATGTGAAGAATTGAGGGTGGGCAAAGCCAATACATAAAAACAAGGCACCAGCAACAGTGAGGCCAACGGAGAGCAGGGGCCTTTCAGCTCCCTGAGGCAGCAGCACTGCACCAATGCATGAAGCTGCTAGGTGGACCGTGCCAGCCCATCCAGAAAGAATGCACCAGATGTGACCAACTGCAGACAACTTCCCCCAACTCCAAGGTGTACTGGGTAGGAAAATATCACCCATCTTGGTTTACCAAAACCTTAACTGTAAAGCTTGCTTTGTTTGTTATGCAGTATCGTCTTAGGATGTAACAGTATTTTGAACTTATCCCATTAGAGACATTTAGAGCTTAAAGGTTCCCCTGAATTCACTTGAATAGTTCAGTGACATGTGGCTCTACCAATGCTTTGATGTGTCTCTGAGAACTCTGTTTCACAAGTTTTTGATTTAAACTTGAGAGCCCAGAACCAAGAAAAGTTAAGTGGATTGTCCAAGTGACAGGGAGGGGATGACAACCAGGGCTTGAGGCTACCGGGGGAAGCCCGTCTAACAAAAATGGAAATCGAGGCGATGACCTCAAAATTGTATCACACATGAATTTTACCGGCTCTCAGCTTTGCCCATCGTCTGACAGGCAGGATTCCTGCAAAACCACAGCCCTCAGTTGTTAGCTATGGGGCAGGGTCCTCATTCACAGCTTCCGTCCTCAGGATGGGCCTTTCTCCTCCTCCTCTTCTTGCGCATCCAGTGCAGAGCGAGCTGAGTTCCCTCCCCTGTGCTCCATGGTATCCCCGCCGACCTCTGCTTTGCAGAAGGGAGCGTTAAGGATGCTCCTCAGATGAACAAACCTGAAAGTGGAAAGCCCCCCAGAGCAAAAGCAGCAGCGTCGAGCCCTGGCTGTGTGTGCAGAGGTCCAGCTCACAGAAAGTCGACTGTCCATCACCGCTCCCTGGACAGGCCCCTCAGACACACTTCTTTTCCATGACAGATGCCAGCTCTGAGAGACCAAAGTAGTTGAGTGAGAAAATCTGAGTTGCCTTTTAATGCAATTCTTACGCGGGTCTGCATATCTCAAACCACTGCCTGGGGGGAAAGGTCACAAGATAGGGTGGTTTTCTCCTATCATTTCTTGAAAAGAATGTCTTTTCATGGGAATTCTTAAGGGACAGTGTCAATTTCTTCCAGAAATCTATTTTTTAAAAGAAATGTGCTTCCTTTTGATGTAACACCCAAGCCGTCTGTTTTTACTATCCCTGGCATGTTGGTGGCAGCTGGGTAAAACTCCCCTTCTCAACCAGTCCACTGCCCTGTTGAGTCATGAGGCTTCTGGGTGCGACCAGGGCGGTGCAGGACCCATCACAGGAGATCTCCACGGCAGGCCTCCTGGCCATACCCCGTCGGTCAGAGTGCTCCAGACTCTGGCTCACCGCCAGGACATTCACCTTCTGGACACTGAAAACCAGGCACGTGGCAGCAATGCGGCTGCTCTCTGCTAAGGCGTCCATGCATAAGGACTGATTACGTGCGGGCAGGATGACTATGACAGCAGCAACATGTCTGTGCCTCTGACCTTGAACCCCGGAGGCTACAAAATTACATCTCAGGCAGGGAATGTTCCCTGAGAATGGACAGTCAGCAGGCAGTGAGCAGCTGAGAGGCGTTCCGTTTCATCTGATGCTGCACATTAACTTGCCACCAACTCATCTGCATTTCTCATGCTGAAAACTCTATACTTCCCCAGTTCTGCCTATTACAATATATGGAAATACAAGAGCTCTGACAAAATGGAAGGGAGAATAGAAATCACCAGAAAAATAAACTGTTTCAAGAATGAAGTTGCAACATCACATTCACATCTGTATATGTAATTCCATACACACCGCTTTAGTACAGAATAAGAATGCTATATAATTTCCATCAGTTAGGCAAAGAAATCCTGCAAAAGTGCTTAAAACTATCTAGTCACGGATTTTACATATGCTTCCTGCATTATGCTTTCATTCTTAATTAGCTAACTTTTTATTTACAATGCAAACATACACATTAATTTAAACTTTATTTGAATGACCACAAATTCCATATTAGGTACTCCACACAGGTGGCTTTGTTGCACTGATAATGC